GGCCCTGAACGAGCAGGAGAAGGAGCTCAAGCGGCGCCTCAAGCGGCTCTACCCGGCCGTGGACGAGCAGGAGACGCCGCTGCCGCGCTCCTGGAGCCCGAAGGACAAATTCAGCTACATCGGCCTCTCGCAGAACAACCTGCGCATCCACTACAAAGGTAGAGGGACGGAGGGAGGGCGAGGCCGAGGCCACCGCCATCCCCAGGCCCCCTCCGCCTCTTCCTCCGAAAGGCAGGCTAAGAAACTCCCAGGGAAGCTCTGAACGTCTCCCCCGAAACCGTCGGGAGGCTTCGGTTGTTGCCTTTCTCCGCCGAGGTCAGTGGACCCCGAGCCTAGGCTTCCTTCCCGCACCCCGCTTTCCGAAGACCGCACACCAGTTGGGCCAGTACATATTCCCCTCCCGTGACTGGAGCGGAATAGCCCTTTCTCTTCTTCCCCAACCCTTGTCGTTGGAGGAGTCCCTCAGTCCCTCGCTTTGCTGCCTCCTCCCCCTCCACCCCCAAAGCTTGGAGGTTCCCCGGCAAGGGGGAGGGAAAAAAATTGAAACTTACACTTTCGTGCGTCCCTCCCGGCGTGACGCTGCGCGCTGACGTCACGGGGCTGTAATGGTGGTGTGCCTCGAGATTTTTTTCATCAAACAAGTGTGCCTTTGCCCAAAAAAGGTTGGGGAAACACTGCTCTAGACTCTACACTGCACAGGTTGCACAGATGTTCTGTCCTTCCAAAAGAAAATGTGGCAAAATCCCAACTCTACTCAGATGACAAGTTTGCTTAGTGAGATCCTGTACTGCTGCTTCCCTTCTTCCCAGAGTGATCTATCTAGTAGATCAGAACAGTCTCAACTTCTATACAGCCTCTTTGCAGCCAAGTGAATACTTACAGGAACATAAATTGCACCTTATGTGATGTAAGGAGCTTTCATCTCAAAAAAGTGCATCCATATGCATAGGCAGTTACTTGATATACTATAGATAAGGGATAAGCAGGTGGCAACAGCTCAGATGGGGGAGATATTGTTTTTAGCCTTCTCCTTTTCTACCCCACTTGACAGCCACCCCTTCAGGCAGGAAATGAAAGGAGAGGTCTCATTTCCTGCTTCAAGTAGTGTCTACCAGGTGTGAAGCCACGCCTCTGCCATAGCATTTGACAAGGTCCAACCACCATATTAACAAAATTTCGTTGAGGAAACAGCATAGGTTGAGCCAGGCAAAAATTAGTTCAAGCTAACTGTTCAATTCTTCCCTAGCTTTCTGCCAGTGGGAGATCCAGATTCTCTTCATCCGAAATCTGGGTGGCAGTGATGGGCATCACAACAAAGTCTTGGATCACCAAAGAGCTTAACTGTGCAAAATCAGCTCTGCAAGTGAAGAACTTTGCCATTCTTGCCTTGGGCTGTGTTTCCCAACAAGACATAGCTACAACAAATGCCCCCTTGTTACTGGTGATGCACCAATGACAATCAAATTGCTACTGTGTCAGGGCAACAGCCACTCCCTTGATTTATTTGTAAATGTACACAGTGCCAACTTTTTTGGGGCGGGGGGGGAGAAAATGTACCATCACCATTTGTTTAATACCTCTAGCGTTGGGCTACATTACTAAACTACCACTACATTTCCAAAGTCAGACACGCCAATATTCCTACCAAAAAACACTTTGATACTTGGCAATGTGAACTAGGCTATTAAACGACTAGTGGCAAATATGCACCACAGTAACTACCTATACAGATTGTTCAGTATTGTGCCTAAATGCACCATAGATGCAGACAGTAATGCTCAATTACCGGTTTTTTGTCCTTGGAAATACAACTTATTTAAAGGAATGTGTACGTCTCGTAATCTGGTGAACCGGGTTCGCTTCCCCGCTCCTCCACATGCAGCTGCTGGGTGACCTTGGGCCAGTCACACTTCTCTGAAGTCTCTCAGCCCCACTCACCTCACAGAGTGTTTGTTGTGGGGGAGGAAGGGAAAGGAGAATGTTAGCCACTTTGAGACTCCTTAAAGGGAGTGAAAGGCGGGATATCAAATCCAAATCCAATATCACTGTATCAGTAAGAACAAACTATTGTCTCTTAATGGTTCTCTCTCATTTAGAACGAAATAATCTCTTGTAATAGTACTGACTATATGCATGGGTTTGTAATATCTTAAGAATTTCACATTGAACTTCACACTGAAGCAGCTCTCTGGATAGACAACTGCCATCTGAGGAATTTAAGAGTACTGGTAAGATTGACTGGTAAGATTGCAAATTTAGACTTCCCATCAAGTGCAGAGTAAGAACTCTAGTCTAATAACCTCCTCTTTCCACAGCACTTTTTAAAATACACAGGTGTCAAATACTGAAGTGAGAGTCATTTTAGCTAAGTTCTTGCGAGTAACTGCTTGGAGGAGGTGCAAATTCACACATGCCCCCTTCTCTGACATTATACTGCTCAGCCAAATAGGCCTCTCACATGAGCATTTACTTGTGAGAGTGAGTCAGTGAAGATGAAACTCGCAAAAGTCTAGGTAGCTCAGTATTTCTCTTGAATCAAGAAATGCAGAAGATATCTCTGTAGTTAGAACAAAATTAAGAACAAGAATTGTTTTCCCCACATTATTTTACTAAATCCATTATTTGCTAATGAAGAGAGCAGTAATCAGCTCCTTAGGTTGCAAGCTCTGGCCCAATCCATTTGTAAAAGCATCAAATACGAACATGCAGTATAATCCTTTTGGCACTCATAAGGACATCCTGAAAAAACATTTCCAACAATCCTGAATACATTTCAATCTAAACTAATAAGTGAACATAGGCATATAGATTGAAATTAGAATCTTACACATTTTGACAGCTAAGTAAGAGCACCCCAAAATTTAAACAGAACACCTGACTCCTGCAACTCAGGATTAGGTAGCGTGCTGACACCTGGTCTCAATTCCCAAATTAACAACAGATTAAAAACAGATTCTCCTCATGGCCTGGGGCAAGTCTACTAAGGCTTCAACTATCAGCAATGCACCTTAACAGGGTTATTGCAAGGTCACGCAAGCATTTGTCAAATACTTTTAATGTGTGAAATACTAATTTAAAAACATTCTCCTGCCCTTCAGAGTGCACAAAGCCAATACTCTTGTGAGAACAGAAATTTCCAGAGGAAACTATGAAAATTTACAGACTGGGGGGAAAGCAGTTCACCTCATCTTCAGACAATGCTGTCTTGCAAACACACCTAGGAAAGTTAGAGCTCAAAGAAAGATTTCCTAGCCCACATTGCCTAATAGGCCTAGGTAGTCCATTTCTATGCATGTTGGCTCAAAGTCGATCTCACCAAGTTCAATACTTTCAATTTAACTAATGTAAAGCTTCACAGCTTAGTGAGTACTTGTAACAAGACAAATAGCAACTTACAAATAACATTAAGGCAACCTTGTAAAACCACAATACATCACCTGCTTTTTGCTATTAGAACTCATTTTAAACAACAGAGGACTTTCAAAAGATTACTTCCACTCCATTTCAAGTCATTCAGTTCTTCTGTACGTCCCTCACTCCTTTGCCCAGCATGCCTATTTAAATTAAATTCTTTCAAACAGATGTTTGCTGCTTGCCACATGAGTGCATAACATGTTCACAACCTTGATCACAGCAGGTGCTCATAAGTGTGTTTTTCTAATGCATGAACTTCTGTATTTTATTTACTGGATTTATTTATATCCTGCCCTTCACCACACAGCAATTCCAAGGCAGGTTACAGTAAAAGTAAAACCACAACAGCCGTTAAATAACAAAAATAAAAATTTAAAATTCACAGCACATAATACTCAAGCTGTTCCTGCAACAATACACGGCCGCAAACTCACCTCTAATCTCATACTTAGTATGATAATCAAGACTTTGTACTGCACAAGGCAGACAAATTACTCTGGAGCACAACTTAGCTCAACAGAAATGCACTTCAAGTACATTACCTTTTACAATCAGAATCAGCCTTTCCTGTATTACAAGAACAAATCTAACCCACTCAGCAGTAAGTTAGCCTGAAGAAACTCACTTGTGTATGACCCAGCAGCCTTGACAAGAATACCAACAATTCCCAGAAGCCTCCCATGTTGACTGTCATGGCATACAGTGCTGTGCATCCCAGTCCCAATCTTTTACACATCAAATGATGTACACTGCCTTTTACAATATGGTGTGCCTGCAGATGTGACCAGCATCATATTGCTGGTTCTTTAACACACCTTGTTTCAGAAAGCCTCAGCTTTCAATTTTACAACTTGCGATTAGTGCAAATGGCAAAGTGCTCAACTTCTGTGTTTGCAGAATGTATAAACACTTATCCTAATCTTGTTTTTAATGGAACCCTGGAGATAGAAGCCCTAGAACTCATTTTCTCTATTTAGGAAGAGATGTTAGATACAGTTCTCAGTCTTATTGCTTGTTTGCTAGAAGGGTGCAGGGAACAGAGAAACACCAACATTAAGAAAGGGCTGTCCTAAAAACCTAATTTGGACATTTGCTTCCTAATATTGCTGCTTTTTGTAGCACAAGTTTGAAGTAAATACTTTATTCTCAGCTGCTTCTCTACTAAGAAGAATTGTGGGAGGGGGGATTTCACCTTTTTCAACCCCACGTCTGCTAAAAAAATGTTGATGGGCTTTTGCTGACTCTTCCCTCTATCCCTCCACTCCAACAACAGAAAGTGTACACAGCAATCCTTGGTACACTGAGAAGTCAATCTGTGCAACCTTTTAAAATACGCACATGGTTGTAAGGAAACACAGAATTCTGCAGCCGCTTGAATTTGCTTGCCTCTTACCCAACTAACAGCATCTAAGGGAGAGAGATAAAGAATAAGTGGGTAATCCTAACCATGTTTACTCAGAGGTAAACCCCATCAACTTGCGGCGGAACCGACTCCTTAGTAACTTCGCCTAGGGCTGTAATCCTTTCATGCACACATTACTCAGGGGGTGGGGAGGGGAAAGCCTGAAGTCGCAACAGGGGCTTACTTCCGAGCAAACACGCCTTCCGAGGTCGGCGCTCGCACAAGCTCCCCGCGTCCACCAACTCCCAGGCACGTCCGCTCAGCTGCTGCTGCTGCTTTGCTTTGTTTTCGAAGTGGTGGGGCTCGAGGACTTGTTAACCCCGCTCCTCCGGAAAGTTAAAAGCACACAAACACACACACACCCCTCACTTTGCGCTGGGAGAGGACCCCCGGCGGGAGCTGGCTCCGAAGCGCACGCGCGCAACGGGGGAGGGAGCGGAGCAGAGAAGGGGCGGCGATCCCACGCGCGCTTCCCACCTTGGGAGTAATGAAAAAGAGTGGGGGGGAAGCTGACTGAATAGAAGGGGGTGCGTGTGGCCTGGCTGGCTTCCTTCCTACTAAGCTTGGTCAGAGGAGGGTGGATTGGGGGGGGGGGTCGCAGAGTAGCAGCAAACAATCCTCCTCCCTTAAAAAGCCCCCCCCAAGAAGGAAAGTGGGGTCTTTTGAGGGGCTGGGGGGCAACACCATCACCTTCCTCCTTCCCCCCTCCCCCACCCACCCGGAGGAGGCCTCCCCTCCCCCCGCCGCAGCACCGCCTACTCCCACCACAACAAAGCGAGGGAGCCACCCCCCTCGCGCAGCCCAGGCCGCGGGGCCTAGGCCGCTGGGCGCCCCCCGCCCGCCCTTCCGGGACCCCCGGCCTGGGCGCCCCCTCCCCTCCCGCCGCCCCTCGACCCGCCGCCGCCCCGCGTCCCCCTCAGAGACCAACCTCCTCGCCCCCCGAGCTGCGCCTCTGCCACCCTCGCTCCTTCTCTCGCTGGCAGGCCCCTCTCCCTCTTCTCACCCCCCGCCCTCCCCGCGAGCTCGCCCCTCCGCGCCTGCTATTGGCTGCCGGGGAGAGGCCCCTCCCACAGCTCATCTCATTGGCCGCCGCCGCCGCCCGTCCGGGGGAAGCCGCGGCGCCGAGTGGGTAAGGAGGGACGGGAGGGGAGGGGTTTCGAGCGGCCACGCCTCCGCCGCCTCCTCGGCCCCTCCTCCCCTCCCGCTCTCTCTTGCTGCCTCAGCTCTCATTGGAAAAGCGGCGAGTGGCGGCGCCGGCCAATCGCCTCGCACGCACGGCGCGCGGCGTCGGAGGGGAGGCGGGAGGGGAGGGAGAGGCGCCGCCCTCGCTAGGGACGGGAGGCGGCGGCGCATTGGTCCAGGCGGGTGTCAGCTTGGCCCTCCCGCCTGTTGTCGGGCTGCCTCCCCGTATTCTCAATATTTGGGGGTTGGTTGCGCCAAGGCGGGTGGGGGGGGGGGGAGAAATTGGGTTGAGCTGCAAAAGCACTAGAGGTGGAGGGAAAGGAGGTCGGCGGCGAACTCCTCCGCCAGATGCACTTCGTAACCTTCCGCGCGGGAATTGTCTCTCTCTCTCTCAGCGAGAAATAGGCCCCACGTCCTAAAAGCAGCAGAGCACAACACAGTTACATACAGTTTCTCAGCTCACCTTAATAAAGATAAAGACATATTATAAACACAATATGCCACAAAACAATCCGTTCCCGCCCCCCTCAGCCTGGCCCCGCACACGCCCAACATCACACCTGTGTGTGAGGTAAAATTTCAGAGACTGCGCAGAGTTATGCCTTCAGAACAAAATATGGTTTAGGAGTGTAGCTGAGGGAATGAACTCTGTCTTTTGAGGGGATTTTTTGTGAGGGGAAAACTTGGCCGTTGAAGAACCATTTCTGTCTCGGCAGTGTGCAAAAGTGTGGATGGAGGCAGATGAGGAAGCGCTCTCAAAATGTATCGCTTAGGGATGTTGTCAATGGAATAATGCAGGGCCGGGAAGCTCTGGCCCTCCGGACATTGTTGGGGCTCCCAGCGCTCTTCTGCCTCAGCCAGCATCCCCCAAGTGGTCCAAGTCGAGCTGGAGCTGAAGTCCAACAACATCTGGACATCTACAGGTTTCCCACCAAAGGGAGGGAGACAACAACAGTCATGGAGATCAAGAGTGTGGCCTAGCTCAAAGGTCTTTCAAAATTAGACTTCAGGTCAAAAGAACAGAAGAGAAGTCTAATGGATCAGGCCAGTGGCCAACGGTCCAACATCCCGTTCTCAAGATGACCAGTGGCCAACCTAGCCCTGCATCCGTTCTCAAAATGGCCAGTGGGTATGACCTGTATGTCAGTATTCTGGCCAGCTATCAGCACAACATGATGTGAAATTAGGGGACAGGAGATGTATTTGGCTGTGATCCTTTATATTCACTTACTTTCTAAAAGATGTGTTTTTCAAAGATGGCACCCTTCAAAGATGAAGCACTCTGTACCCTTGAGGAGCCAGAATTTCTGAAAAAAATGGCAGTGTCATTGCCATAATTTGGTCCATAAAGGGCTAAACTATCTCTGATGATAACCATTCAAAAAGGAAATGGCTGAATAAACATCACAAGTCTTTTGCTCCTTGGGATTGCCAATGCCTTAACTGGCCCCTAGGTACAGTCTTTAATGCCAGCTTGATCTGCAACAATTCACGGGTGATAATGTACCAGAAAAAAGTGCTTCCAGCTGCATACAGTTTTTATCAAGTCCTTATTCCTTTGTAAAGTTCTAATTCCTCAGGAAATAGATTATTTTTATGCTGAGCTTCAGTGAGATAGTTGCTAGGTAGAACTTTTCCGATTTGTTCAGAGATAACAGAAATCCCTCCTGTTGCAAAATAAACCTTATCTGAGTACCAATGAGATCTTTATCAAGAACTGGCCAAATGAACAGTCCTCCCACTCCTATTTCAGCAACCCAAGAAAAGTTAGCTATTCTGTGCATGCCGAATTGCTATTATGGGGATTTAATGCACATCTTTTATATGTATGTGGCCTTATTGGTGATTGAACTATTTCGTTCAATCCTCGCCCCTCCTGGTAAGCAACAGCGACTCAGCTGCTGAGAAGCTAGGGTAGCAACCAAATTTGGAATACTGTGTACGGTTCTGGTTGCCTCACCTCAAAAAGGATATTGCAGAGTTGGAAAAGGTTCAGGACAGGGCAACCAAAATGATCGGGGAAACTGAGCAAATCTTGTCAGGAAAGCTTGCAGCATTTGGGAGAGGTGACACAATAGGTTATAAAATTATGCAAGGGATGAAGAAAGTGTAGAGAGAAAAGTTTTTCTCCCCCTCTCATAACACTATAACTCATGGACATTCAATGAAGCTGAATGTTGGAAGGTTCAGAAGACAGGCGAACTAATGCCAGTGTACTGGAAGAAGCAAAGATCACCAGTGTCGAAGCAATGATTCTGCAACATCAACTTCGTTGGACTGGTCATGTTGTGCAGATGCCTGATTATCATCTTCCAAAGCACCTACTCTATTCCGAACTTAAAATTGAAAGTGTAATGCTGGTGGTCAAAGACTCTCTCAAGGCAAATATTTAAAAATGTAGTATAAACACCAACAACTGGTGTTTGGAGAACAGCCTTTACAAAAGGTGTTGTGGACTTTGAAGACGCTCAAACTCAGGATGAAAGGGAGAAACGCGCTAAGAGGAAGGCATGCTTGGCAAACCTTCACCATGATCAACTCCCACCCAGAAACCTATGTTCCCACGGTGGAAGGATGTGTTGGATCCAGAATTGGCCTCCACAGTCTCTTATGGACTCACTTTTAAAACCGTGTTTATGGAAGACAATCTTACTTGGCTACAAGTGATCGCAGAAGAAGGAGGAGGAGGAGAAGAAGAAGAAGAAGAAGACAAGAAGAAGAAGAAGAAGAAGACGACTAGGGGACTTGTTCCCACACGAGGCAGTGATGAAGAAGAAGAAGAAGAAGAAGAAGAAGAAGAAGAAGAAGAAGAAGAAGAAGAAGAAGAAGAAGAAGAAGACAAGAAGAAGAAGACGACGACGACTAGGGGACTTGCTCCCACACGAGGCAGTGATGAAGAAGAAGAAGACGAAGACGACGACGACTAGGGGACTTGCTCCCACACGAGGCAGTGATGGCCACCAACTTTGATGGCTTTAAAAGAGGGTTGAATGAATTCGTGGAGGAGAGAGAGAAATCGGTGGCTATTAGCCACAATGGCTAACCGTGTTTATGGAAGACCATCTTACTTGGCTACGAGTGATCGCCAAAGAAGAAGAAGCAGCAGCTCTGCCTTTACAACCAGTAGTGCAGAGGCAACAATGCTTCTGAATAATAGTTGCTGGAAACTCCATGAGGAGAGAGTACTCATGCTCAGATCCCGCTTGCAGGTTTCCCACGGGCATCTGCTTGGCCACTGTGAGAACAGGAAGCTGGACTAGGTGGGCCACAGGCCTGATCCTGCAAGCCTTCCTTCTGTTCTTATAGAATTGCAAGGATCTCTTTCTGCTCTTGAAAGGAAAGCATAGACTCGGCATCAGCGAACACAGAGCAGCTCTGCCTTAATCGTTATATAATCTGCAAAATGCAGTCATGTTTCAAATTTACAAAACAAATAGCTGGACCTCGAGGGTGATAGCTGTTGGGGGGGTGGAAGCAGACAAAAGTCAGCCTGTCCCTGGGATGCAAATTGGAGAAGGGGAGTGTGTTCTATAGGTCAGACAGCTTACTAATTCCTAATGGCTGACTAATGGTCACTTTAGAAGGAATGTATTTGAGGTCTTTCTCAGGGCTCGGCTGAACAGTTAATTCATGACTGATCTCGTTATGATTTAAATCTGTCACAATCTCACTGTGTAGCTGTCTCTTCCCCTAGCACATAACACTTTGTGGCTTTCCCCCCTTTCTTTCTTTTCCCAGAAGGTGAGGTAGTTTCCTAGAGACTTCACAGGCTATTTATAATCTCTTTTGCCCTTATGTTTCATGTAAATATATGCAGATCTTAGAACAGCCCTTTGCTTAACCTTGAGACTGAGCTGAGAGAAGCATCAAGGCTGCCTTTTTATAGAAATGGCCTTGTCCTCTAGAGCACTATTCTTCAACCTTTGGTCTCCAGAAGCTGTTAGACTACAACTCTCCTCGTCCCTGAGCATTGGCAAAGATAACTGAAGATGATGGAAGGTGAGATAAAATGCAATAAATTAACAAACAAAACAGACGTTTCTGATTATTATTGCTATGATACTACACAGCCGGGACCTAGTTGTCAGATCAATGTACTGACCTTGCACACTGCGCAACCCGGGTCCTACGTGCTAATTTAAAAAGTGTTTCCTCCAACGATTACTTCACCATCTTTCACATCTGTGTCTAAAGTCTGGTTCCATGGACTCACCTTTACAGACGTTACGATTTAAAAGACACACCTGCATTTTAATTCCAAAAAGCTTTTAAAAAAGAAAAGAATTGTTGGAAGGCTGAATTGCATTTTTTAAAAAAATAGTGGTCTTCCTTTTGTTATATTTAAATTGCTGCTGGCTTTAAAACATTTTAAAAAATTATATATGTTGTCTAAATTTGTTGTTCTATTATAGATAATCTCAGACATTTTATAGAGAAGGAGCAAACAAGGTTTATAGATCAATAAATCATACCTCACTTTATGCATCAGGCTACATACATCTGCCTACATAAGCTTATGCCATAATAAATTTGTTAAGTCTTTAAGGTGCCACAAGCCTCTTTATTCTTTGTTTTTGTTTTTATTATACATCTGTTCTCCTCTACAGAGAACTTGCTCGTCCCCAGTGTGTAAACCCAGATTCTGTGTGAGTTAAGGTTGAATATGATGGTTGTGAACGTATTTGTCTCACTTGTAAACTTGCATAATGATTTCTCTTGGACTGCTTCCAGACTGTGGCAAATTCAGGTTGCAGAATTATAGCAGATTGGGAGGTCTTGCGCAGCAAACCAGCTTCCCCCAAAGATTTGACTTTTTGCAATGAGCTATGGTCACATCCCACTTCCCAGCAAATGCAAAGCATGCAGGGGCCACCTTCTACCCATGGATCTCCTTATCTGGATTGGAGTGCAGATGTGATTCCTCTCCCAGCCCAGCCCTGACAATTGACCTGTCTTAACATTGCCTCGTTCTTAAATTTACATCCCACTTTTCAAGGCTGGTCTTGGGTGGCCACCAAGGCAGTTGTACCTGATGGAGTCTGAACCTTGGCAGATGTCTCACGATGGCAGGTGCAGAGCTGGCCCTCATGCTTACACCCACACCCCTCCTGTGAAAACAACAATGTCCAAAGCATCACACAACTTAAGCCAATCCTTTCTGCATGTTTTTGGGCCACCCCAAACCATATTTATAAAGCCATAATGCTGGAAGAGAGCAGGGGAAGTAATAGGAAACCAAGGGTTCTTTGGAAGTCATGTGAGCCCAATTAAGTGCATGCAATAATCTTGGGCTTAGTTTGATTAACCCTGATCTCACCTTTATTATTTTCTCATTTATCTCTTCAATAGGATGAAGTTAATACTCAGCACAATATCTGAATGACACAGACAGGAAGATAAGAATAAGCCAATTTACTGTACGATCAGTCAGTTATTGCAATACAGTCTGCTTCCGATTTATACTATGTAAAAAAGGGCTAGGGCTAATTAAGCATATGTTTGTTCAGATTAGGGCCTAAATGAGATTTACCCCAATTTTCTACACCATCTGTGCACACTGGAAACATATGAGAGGGATATATCTATCTATCATCTATCTATCTATCTATCTATCTATCTATCTATCTATCATCTATCTATCTATCATCTATCTATCATCATCTATCTATCTATCATCTATCTATCTATATCTATCTATCTATCTATCTATCTATCTATCTATCTATCTATCTATCTATCTATCTATCATCTATCTATCTATCATCTATCTATCTATCTATCTATCATCTATCATCTATCATCTATCATCATCTATCTATCATCTATCTATCTATCTATCTATCTATCTATATCTATCATCTATCATCTCCTATGCAAATTTGGAGTGGAATCCCCAAAGCAGTTGGATGGTACCGGTGCTAAACGTCTTGCTCTGCTTTTCTTTGGACCACAGGACACGGGTGGCGCTGTGGTCTAAACCACTGAGCTTCTTAGGCTTGCCAATCAGAAGGTCGGCGGTTTGAATCCCCACAAGGGGGTGAATTCCCGTTGCTCTGTCCTAGCCCCTGCCAACCTAGCAGTTCAAAAGCACACCAGTTGAAGGAGATAAATAGGTACCACTGCTGCAGGAAGGTAAATGACATTTCTGTGTGCTCTGCTTTCTGTCACGGTGTTCTGTTGCACCAGAAGCAGTTCAGTCCTGCTGGCCACATGACCCGGAAAGCTGTCTGTGGACAAACGCCGGCTCCCTCGACCTGAAAGCGAGATGAGCGCCGCAACCCCATAGTTGCCTTTGACTGGACTTAACTGCCCAGGGGTCCTTTATCTTTACCTTTTTATCCATGAGTTAAAATACAATGCACTAGCAAACATTCCCCATTGACATCAGTGGGAGTTAGAAGTAAACACACTTATAATAATAGAGTTTGACGTCAAGGGCTATTTAACAATACCAGTGATCCATTGGAATCAGGCAAAATTCTCCCTATGGTAGCATTGCATCTAGATTAAAACTGGCCACAGGTAACTGGAGGGGCAGAGTCAACTTACTGAACCATAAGTGGATTATGCAATAGGCATTTCTAATGCTTCCTGTGTTCATTTAGTTGGGCCACCATTTCTGCTTTGAAGAAGTCACATGGTGGGGAGGAACAGGAAGCTCTGGGGATGAACTCTTGGTTCACCCCCAAACACCACAGTCTGGTTGTGGTCTGTTCACTCTCTCCAGCTCTCTGCAGCCTAGAAATAGATTTCCATCATGGGAACTATTTGATGGGATATTCATTTATTTGTCACCTTATTGCACACAATTCATTTCGGATGTGTTGTAAACTTTAAAGACTATTTTAAAAACAACAACCTAAAATTCATAGCAGGGCAATACCTCCTTGTAAACCGCTTTAAGGTGTGTGTGTGTGTTTACAATCAAGCGGTGTATAATTTTTAAGAGACAAATAAATGAAATAAATGCCACTATTAGGCCAGAGGAATGTTGCAAAATAGCATGCAGGCGTTTCGCTTCCCCAGAACTCTTTATCAGGCCTTGAGAAGATAAAATAATTTCATATGTTCATAATAAATAAGCACTGTGCAGTTTGTCTGCGACAGTTTCCCCACATTATTTGGCCACTAGATGGTGTTGAAGAGCTGCAGAAATTATTGTTCTTAAACCATAGCTCAGCGGTGAAACATCTGCACTGCATGCAGATACAGTAGACTCAGGTAGGACTGGGAGAAACCCATTTGAAATTCTGGAGAGTCACTGGAAGGAGTAAGGAACTCAGGCCCGGGGCCCAACCTCTGCTTATAAACCTCCAAGGGAGGAAAGTTCACAACTTCCCGAGGGAGACTGTTCCACTGTCAAACAGCTCTCACTGTCAGAAAAAATTTCCCTGTGTTTAGTCAGAATCTCATTTCTTGTACAGTGGTACCTCGGGTTAAATACTTAATTCGTTCCGGAGGTCTGTACTTAACCTGAAACTGTTCTTAACCTGAAGCACCACTTTAGCTAATGGGGCCTCCTGCTGCTGCCGCGCTGCTGGAGCACGATTTCTGTTCTCATCCTGAAACAAAGCACTATTTCTGGGTTAGCGGAGTCTGTAACCTGAAGCATATGTAACCCGAGGTACCACTGTAACTTGAAGCCATTGGTTCAAGTCCTACTCTCCAGAGCAGGAGAAAATAAGCTTGCTCCATCTTCCATATGACAGCCCTTGAGATATCTGAAGATGGCTATCATCTCCCCTCCCAGTCTTCTCTTTTCCAGGCTAGGCATACCCAGACCCTTCAACCATTCCTCATAAGGCTTGACTTCTAGATGCTTGATCATCCTAGTTCTCCTCTTCCTGCACACATTCCAGTAAGTCCTGTTTAATTTAATGGGGAATTATTTCAGAGCAAACATGTACCAGATTGAACTTTTAGAAGGTTGAGGATTAGGGAGGCCTTAAGAAACAAATAGGGATGTGGGTGGCGCTGTGGGTTAAAGCACAGAGCCTAGGACTTGCTGATCAGAAGGTCAGCGGTTCGAATCCCCGCGATGGAGTGAGCTCCCGTTGCTCGGTCCCTGCTCCTCCCAACCTAGCTGTTCGAAAGCACGTCAAAGTGCAAGTAGATAAATAGGTAGCACTCCAGCGGGAAGGTGAACAGCGTTTCCGTGCGCTGCTCTGGTTCACCAGAAGCGGCTTAGTCATGCTGGCCACATGACCCGGAAGCTGTACGCTGGCTCCCTCGGCCAGTAAAGCGAGATGAGCGCCCCAACCCCAGAGTTGGCCATGACTGGACCTAATGGTCAGGGGTCCCTTTACCTTTTTAAGAAACAGATGCATATCATATAACAACACATAGTTCTGAGAGGTTTAGGACACTGGTTGATTTGAGATAATATTTTATTTTGTCCACGGGTTGCAAAAATGTGCAATAGGTATGTTTACAGGACCGGCTCCTTGTCAGTGGATGGGATTTGCAATTTCTTCCCTGCCCCCAAATAAATCAAATGGAAGGAGTCTGATCACATTCTGCTCTACAGCAATTAGTGCAAGTAAAACATTTGCTTGACATGTTCACATGGACTGCTTACTGCCCTGGCCAGAGATGCTCATGCAAGCTCATCCTCAAGGTATCTTGAAACATCTGTGCAGAACAACCACTTGACTAAAAGGAAGGCTTGCAGAATGATTGCCTCTGCCCCATGTCCAGGACCACATGGGTAACATTTGAAGCAGGGGGAATGCCATGGTTTGGGACTTCCACTTCATTCCCCATGTCAAGCGTTATCGGTGTGTAATGAGATCCAGTCATGTGGAAGCAGAAAGGGTAATGGAAATACCCTTGGAAATACCCCCAAAATAGTTGGGGCCATGTGTAATTAATGCTTAATAATAATAATAATAATAATAATAATAATAATAGCCTGCTCCTGAGCAATACAAAAGCTGGGTCCTGTGGCTTGCGTAAATTATGCAAACTGAGCAATGCTACATCATTTTTTAAAAAAACTTTGCATCACTTATACCGCAGGTTTTCACCCCCACCTACTGTTCTGCACAATTGATTCAGGTTTCTCAAGTCACAGGGAAGGGCTGTGGTGGGCCCTGAATCCCTGTCCGCTGACGATTTTTAAACCGTCTTCTGAAATTTCAGTTAACACACACACAAATCTCCAATGCCCCTCTCTGCTTCCATGGGCTGCCCCGTGCAGTTCTCCTCATCTACCGAAACAAAGGTGGTCACTGTGGACTGGACACCTGTACAAAGCAATGCCTGCAAAGAAGCTTTTGGGAAGAGTGGATGAATCCAGGCATCAAAGCTTTGGGGCCTATAGCAGAGTATTTGACTGGGGCATTTTATTGCAATCTGTTCTTCGATTGGTTTACTCAAGTGTTTCCCACCACTTCCTTCTCTCTCAAACTTGATTACTGTGCACTTTGTGATTGGCAGCTGAAGGTGTGAACTGACACCACTGGAAGACCTGTGTGTTGGAAGTGCAAGCCTGTGGTTTTGCATCTGTGGTGGTCCATTCAGACATACCTGTGATGGTCCATTCATCACTTGGGAATCAGCCCGTACTCAGGAGCTCAACCCACTTTTAATATTGATTCCTATGGGCTTTGGCAGCTCAGCTATGCTGGACTGTGGCCTGTCAGATTTTGCATTGTCTCCAGCGATACCCTTGATCAGAATGAACCTCCTGGGGAAGCGGGTGCATCAGAATATTCACCCTGCACATTGTGAGGAATGAATTACAGGATAATATTCTGCATGAATGAGAGACCCTCCCCTCCAATTCTGATAAATGGAACAAATCAGTTGCAATTCATGCAAATATCTTCTGCACAAAACCCTGCTCAGTTATATGCCAGTTTTATTCTGGACCAGAATAATGTTGGAGATGCGTATTGGGAATGTCTGTGTGGCAATTTCCTGCTTTAGTACTAGCAGATATGATGGGCAAGTTCAGGTATTACCCTCTAAATGTGGGAAGACATTTAAAGCACACCATTCTCCCTGTGCCGGCATCTTCTAGGGCAGAGGTGGTGGACCTGTGGCCCTCCAGATCTTGCTGGACATCATCCCTGACCATGTTTTCCTTGGGCTGTTCAAGTCCAACAACTGGTAAGCCACTGGTTCTTCATCCCTGATCTAGGAGGACTTGATGTGAAGCTGGAGGGATTCCTTCTGGGTCACACCATTCCCCAGTCTCCCCAAAAGAAGAGAGTACTTGCACCCTGCTAGGTGCATCTACCTTCTCCTTACCAGAGAGAGAGCATCTGTGTCTACTATTTTCACAGACCTCTCTGGCAGCAGCTGTTTTTGCCTGCAGTTGGAGTGGAAAGAGAGGCAGTAAAGCCCACAGTTGCTTCCACCTGCATGGCAGGCATGTGGATAGCTTTGGGGGAATTGAAACACAAGGTGCATGGGTAGATGATGAAGCTCAGCAATGCAACAGATGCATAACTGAGCTTCAAACCTATCTCCAAAGTTCCAGAAGCTGCTATAGTCCAGAACCTCTTGTGTGCTG